TCTATGGCACCTAACAACAACAACAACAAAAGCCTCTGGCTTGTGAGCATATTCACCTAGAAAGTCTAAAGGTACTCAAAAGTTTTTATATGAATATTTTGGTGGACTCTTAACCTACTCTCGTAGTTTAACTGGTTGGGAGCTATGAAGTTCTTTCACCAACTGTCAGCAAATACCCCTGTCTACCTTATTTTTCTCAGTTCTAAAATGGAAATGGCCAGTATTTCAAGTTTGGTGAAGGATTAAATTAGTTGTCTGTGGTAGTATTTTTTTAAGCTCTAAAATTGTATGAGAATGATAGCAAACGTTATGAGGATTTTCTCTTCAGCAAACAGCTGTATGATCTTTGCAGTATATTTCATAAGGAAAATTGTACATGCTATAATTCTAAATTTTTTCACAAGTTAAATATACAATTAGCCAAATCTGGTTTTACTAAAGCTGGTATGACAGGATTTCATTCTAATTTTAAGCAACTAATAGTCCCATTTGAAAATCATTTTTCCTTTCTTTATGTCGGCATGAATGTGTAAGAAGCAAAGGTAATACACATGTTTACTTTTTCAAAGGAAAGAAGCAATTCTTTAGTAACTATGGTTACAAATGAGATGCTCAAAGGGAAAGCAATTCTCTCCCTTTAGATTTCATTCTATGAGAAAAAATTCTGAAGAATTTATTAAAAAGTTGTCTTCTGAGGTATGTATCTATCTACTCCCTGAAGATATATGATTCCAAATTCAACAGTAAAAGCTAAACAGTTATCCTGAGGAAAATAAAATCACAAAAATGCTAAAAAAATGTTTTATCTTTACCATATGTCCAATATGAAATGCCTGAGACCACTGATGTGATGTTGTCTCTGGTTATCTGAGGGGGATTGGTTCCAGGAGTCCCTTGGACAGGAAAATCCTGATTTGCTAAAGTTCCTTACGTAAAATGATATAGTATTTACACAGCCTATAAGCATCCTCCCCTATGCTTTAAATCACCTATGTTGTTGTTAATGTGGAGGACATAGGTAAGGAGGGCCAATTGTATTTGTCTGGCTTTTAAAGAAGATAATAATTTCAAACAATCCAATGCTTCACAATTTTTTTTTTTTAGACATATGGTAAGCTTTTTCAAATTCAATGAAGGTGTGGGAAAAAAAAAGGTCTCATTGCATTGTTTCACTGATCTGTTTGCATTTCAACAAGAATGTCTTCCCTGAATATTACGCATAAACTGACAACTGACTCAGCAAAAAAAAAAAAGCAAGTTAAGAGTGAATACCTGAGAATTTATATTGTTGTTGTTGTTGTTGTTGTTGTTGTTAATAGCGGTTGAGTCAGTTATGACTCATAGTGACCCTGTGTAGGGTTTCTGAGGAGCTGCTGGTAAGTTCGAACCGCCGACCTTGCGGTTTAAACCAGACTCCAGAGAAGTTTTATCAGAGCATTTCAGTATCTCAAAGTAAATTTCAAGATGACTCAAGAAATGGGCAGAAACTTTGTTGCTGCTGTTAGCTGCCAATGAGTTCGCCCTAAATCATTGCTACATACATCCAACAGAATGGATCACTGTCCAATCCTAGACCATCACACATCAGTTGCAGAAATTAGGCAACAATTATTCTTGTGAGGGTCAGAGCAGATATTTGAACTGTAAATGTTAGCATTTATCATTTCAAAGGTAACTTTCACTTTAAATTAGTTACTAAATATAATTGTATATGGAAATGATTTTGTTTCTATTTCTCTTTAAAAATACAGGCTATAAAAATAAAGACTCATTTACAAAACTGTCCTATCTTTCTATTTAGTAATATCTTGAATGGTGACTTTGAATGCTACTTAATGTTGTTTCCACTAATTTACTTGAGCCCACTCATATAGCTAGAATTAGGGATTTCTGATGTATAAACAAGATGCAAATAAATACCTTTCTTTTTAGACCAAGTAACCTTGAGCTTCAAGTTTTATTATGCATAGTAAAACCAAAAGAAAAACAGCTCATGGTGACCCTTGTGTGTGTGTCAAGAGTAGAACTATACTCCAAAGAGTTCTCAGTACCTGATTCAGCGGACAGAGATCACCAGACTTTTCTCTAAGTGCCTCTAAGTGAACTCAACTGCCAGCCTTTCAGTAAGTAGCCATACACTCATACTGTCTACACCACCCAGGCACTCATTAAGCATCTTACCAGAAGCTATATTATGCATTTCTCTTTCTCCCTGAACCAATTTGAGTGCACTGAAGTGCAATGTTAGGTTCTGACCCTTCTTTGCTGAATAGGACCTTTCAGATGCCACTAGGAAAAACAGCCAGAGACAAGTGAGCTCTGCATTTTATTTGAGAACTTCTAGTTCAACCCTTACACATTACTGACCCAGAGCATGACCATGTAATGTTCCCAATGTGACAGAGTTTATTAAAAATGAAAGGCACTCTGTCTAGGTTGCCTATCTGGTTTTCCTTGAAAGAGGTAGGGATTAGGGGAATGGATCAACAAAGCTCTAAAACAATATAAAGGAAATCTGCCAGAATATGTACTGTACACTGCAGTAAATTGTTAAATCTATGCGAGTAACTTGAACTTTATAATATAAGTGGTCTGAAGGTAAGGCATCTGGCTGTCAAAGGTTACTGGAATGAAAGCACTCAAAGAATTACAAAATGACATTCCTTCTTAGGTGCCATTCAGTCAGTTCCAAATCATAGAGACCCTATGCACAAAACCCTGCCTGGTCCTGTACCATCCTCACAATTGTTGTTACATCTGAGTCCATAGCTGCAGCCCCTATGTCAATCCATCTTCTTGGATTATCTCTTCACTTTTCCAAGCATGATGTCCTTTTCCAGACACTGGTCCCTCCAGATAACAAGTACAAAGTGCATGAGACAAAGTCTTACCATCCTGGCTTCCAAGCAGCATTCCGGTTACACTTCTTCCAAATCACTTTAGAACAACTCAAAACACACACATAACTTGTAGCTACTGAAGTACATAGATGACACAATATTTTTGCATATAAAAAAATGAAAATAAGTACAAAGGTTTTACCTTGGTTTTTGCGTTGACATTTGCTCCCTGCTTCAGAAGAAAGTTGACCATTTTCACATTTCCGTAATGACAGGCCACAATTAATGGAGTGTAACCAAGCTGAAATAATAACAAATCATATATAAAAATACACAAAAAATGTAGGAATTTTACCATTTTAGCAGTTAATACTCAAAGAGAGAATGATTAGATAGAATTTCAGTATGAAATGGACCGAAATTCAATTTGACCGTACAGGTATTATTTTAGCATATCATATACATCCTATAGATACAAGTATGAATATGAACAGATCTCTAATCACAAGGAACTTAATCCCAGCAATGATGATGTGACACATGTGTGATGTAATCTGAGAAAACTAAGAGAGGCACAAATAATATGATCTGAAAGAGAGACTGAGTCTGGTAGGACAATCAACAGGATGAAGGAAGGATGTAGTTAAGCTGAGCTTGAAGAAGTGTAAGTATTCAATAACACAAAAGGAAGAACTATTCAGGCCCAAGGGCATAGAGCCAGGCAAGTATATGAAGGACTAGTCATCTGGACTAGCTGAAGTAATAAGGTTAAGTAGACTTAATTCTGAAAAACTGAAGTCTGTTTTTTGTGTGAGGATCCTAACACCACGTTATCCATTTGAACTTGACTGTATAGGAATGAAGAGCAGGATAGGGCTTTGACTAGGTGAAGCTCTAGAATGGAATAAATACGAGGTGAGATGTGGATTTGGGGTGATGCAAATGGAGGCTACTGGGAATCCTGAAAGTCAGTACCTACCACAATGTTGACAGCAATTTACTTTACCTTTGTATGAGCATCTTGATCAGCTCCGTGCTTGGTAAGTATATCAGCGACATTCACTTTATCTTCCTGGGCTGCAAGGTGTAAAGATGTGAGTCCACTCTATAGAAAGAAATGGAAGCAAAGGGATACATTTGAAGAAGAAAATATGTTCCATCATGGATAAATTCTATTTTGCTATGTTGTTGTTGTTGTTAAGTGCCGTGGAGTTGGTTCCGACTCATAGTGACCCTACACAGGGTTTCCGAGGCTGTAAATCTTTACGGGAGCAGACCGCCTCATCTTTCTCCCGCAGAACCGCTGGTAGTTTCGAACTGCTGACCTTGCGGCTCACAGCCCGATTCATAGCCACTACGCTACAATCCTGCAAAACTCAAAGGCCCTTTCCACAAATTTACCCCTTCTGAAATCCAAGACAGTCTAAGTTGATATGACTTTTCAGTCATGATGTACTCTCTCAGTTAATCAACACTTTCAGCAACATTCTATAATGGATTTTTATATTATAATGTGAGACTTTAAAAGAATTCAGTTAATAAGCTTCCAAACAACATTCATTTCAAACCTTCTACTGAATCTATTTACTCACTTAAATAATTGATCACTCAACTGCTACTTCTACTTTATAGCCATAGAAATAATCTATACTATCATCAATAAAATATCACATCAATGTAAGTAATGTAGAGACTTATGAGAAATGAGTTCAGAACAATTGTTGTCAGTACCCAAAGATACTATTAGGCAGGCTGCTCTAGATGCTATATAAAAAGTAGCCTCATAATTTAAATAAACCCTTAAACCTTTCTATTTCTATGTAAAATGTCATACATGCATCAAGAAAATATTTCATTTAGTTCACTATCCAATTAAAGTTCAGTTAAGATTAATAAAAAAGAAGTAATATTAAAAGATAGGGAAAGAGGAATTTATTTAGTCGACACCCAAACCTGACAAACTCATGTGCAATTAGCTTTCTTCAAGCAAAATTGGGACTTATCTTTAAAACCTGAATCATTCATCTGTTTAACAGATTTGTTTTACTCCTCTTTATATGCCAAAATGTGCCCTTGGAATTTGGTATATAGCAGTGAACAAAAGCTACTTCCCTTCATTCTATACACTTCCTTCCTCCTTCTCACTATTAATCGAATAGCTAGTGTATTCCTCTTCCTATACAGCCTCCAATTGTCAACTAAGCCAGCTACCTGTAATCTCAGCCTACATATGCTTTCCTGAATCTATCCAACTAAAAGCTGCCAGCTCTGTTGACCACTGCTTTGCAGCACAGCTCTCCTGCACTTCCAATTAACGTGAGAAAGCTAAGCCACGTTCTTCATAATTCTTGGTCTCCATCCATAGTGTAGTGGTTACGAATTGGGATGCGAACCTTAAGGTCAACAATTGGAAACTACCAGCTGTTCCGCAGGAGAAAGATGAGGTTTTCGGCTCCCGTAAATATCTACAGCCTCAGAAACTCTGTACAGAGTCGCTGTGAGTTGGTTCTGACTCCATGGCACATAACCACCACCACCATCCATAGTACTACTTCTAGAAACTGGCAAGTGTTTTGACCTTTAAAAAGTGTAAATTATACTAACTACAGAGAGAAACGGGAGTCCTGGTGTGGTGGTGCTGGATAATGCAAAGGAAGTCAAGGTCAGTTTGAATCATAAAGTGGGCAGTTCAAACTCACCAGCTGCTCTTTGGAAACCCTATACAGGGTTGCTATGGGTCAGAATTGACTCGCTAGCACTTAACAACAGAGAGAAATATGTTCTATACTAAAAAGCAGGATTTTACTTTGAGGGCCTGAGACTTTTTACTTCTCTGGGTGAACTCTTATTTGGATTTCATAAAGTCTCAGGGTGATATATAAGGAAAAATAGATGTTTGCAAGAATATTTTGTCATAGCTTTTAAACAAATGTTATATAATCCTAAAGGATAAACAGTCTGAAAAATAGGACAAAACAGAAGACTCTTCTTCATCGTAGCATTCTCCATATTAAAATAGCAAACATATTTTTTTTTTCTCTTCACAGAAACAGTCGGCTTAGATATTACTGAAATGATCATCAAATAATTATCCAATATCTCAAAGGACTACCAGAACGGCATGATTTAAGTGACCACAAGGAAGCTCTTGCCCTAAACTTTCCTAACTGGCCGAGACATGAATTCTATCCCTAATCTTCATCGAGTTCATTCTTGTTAAAATGTAATATCTTTTGGAGGGCTAACTCTATAATTAGCCCTGCCCATACTTTTAAAAAGGATAGCTGAGGACTTCTGATAGAGTAACAGAAGTGCTTCTGGGTAAGAGAGGTACAAGAACACACGTCTAAGTGATAAAGACACAGAGCAGAACTCTGAAAGCATTCAAGACAATCTGCCTGTTTCACAAAACTTTCTGAAGGACACACACTATCTTACCTGTATACATATGTTCATAAGACTACTTTCAGTTGTATATTTGTACAAAACCCTACAAAATTTAATTTCCATTAAAACTCTGTCATGTATTACAAAAACATCAAGAAATCTAATGATGAATTAATTTATAAACACTGTCTTCAATTTTTTAATTTAGTTTTTAAGGGAATTTCATATATATATACAAACATATACATATATGTGTGTTGTTGTTGTTGTTACTAAGTGCTATTGAGTCAGTTCTGATTCATAGCGACCCTATACAGTGTTTCCAAGGAGGGGCTGGTGAAATTGAACTGCCAATATTTCAGTTCAAACCAACCTTGAAGTCCACAGCTTTATCCCATAGTGCCACACCAGGACTCTCTCTCTTTCTCTCTCTCTCTCTCTCTATATATATATATATATATAGATAGATAGATAGATAGATAGATAGATAGATAGATAGATAGATAGATAGTTGAACCCATAGCAACCCTCTAGAGGGTTTCCAAGGCGCGATTAGTGAGCTTGAAACACCAACCTTGCAGTTCAAACTCACTTTGCAGTCTAGCGCATTAACCTACAGACCCATAGTGATATATATATAAATGAACTGCCAATCTTGTGGTTAGCAGGAGAGTGCTTATCCTGTTGTTGGTAAGTGCTGTTGAATCGATTCCGACTCACAGCCACCCAATATAGGATTTCTGATGAGCAGCTGGTGAGTTTGAACTGTCTTCCTTGTGGTTCAATCCAACCTTGCAGTCCTGCACTTATCCTACAGCACCACATCAGGACTATATATATATATATATATTTGTGTGTGTGTGTGTGTGTGTATACACACATACATAGGAGTGTGGTGTCTCTGTAGGATAATCACTGGATTGTGAACCACAAGGTCGGTGGTTCAAGCCCACTATCCACTCAGTGGGAGAAAGATGAGGCTTTCTGCTCCCACAAGGAAATTATAGCGGTGGAAACCCCATACAGAGTTGCTATGAGTTGGAAGCAGTTTGATGGCACTAACAACAACAATACATATGCACATATATGAGGTGCTTCAAAAAATTCATAGAAAATGAAATTAAAAGATAGTGGAATTTTTCCATGAGCTTTTTGAAGCCCCCTTATAAACAGATATATATACTTGTAAACATTTACTATCCATATATTTGAACTATACTTTTTTTTCACTATCTCTATTTCATTTGATCATGGTTTGGTATGGTGGTCTTCAAAGGTCACTCTGTGGAAAAGGGTTGAAATGACTGAGGCGTCTATTAAGATCACAGATTCTCTACCTCTCCCTCTGGTCCACCAAACTGGGGGTTAGGCTTACATAGAGCTGAAGCTGACTCAGGAACCTCTATTGTCTTCAGTTCTCTGCCTCCAATCCAGGGCCTCTGATGCTCAGCCCAGGTTAGAGCATGGCAGCTTAGACTGAACTCATCTCCAGATAGACCCTCATCTGTCTCTCTGGAATATGGAATTAAAATCAGCAGGTACTCACTCAAGCAATCTGTGCTGAGTGCTTAAACCACACTAATATTAACTCACAGAAGCTCTGGAGTAGTCTCTTCTGCCTTATGAGCAGAAAAACAGATAGAGAAGATGTGCAAAGAAAATAGAATGAAATTGACTAGCAAAGAAAAATAAAAATACAGAAATATAGACACAAGCAGAGAGTCTCTGAGGGTGGCTCCCTTGCTTCCTGTGGTTTTCCAGTCCTCATAAGACTTGATTCCCTTTCTGTCCTTGGATTATAGAACATAACCTTGTTTCCTTTTAATGCAGTCTCCCTTTTTGTTCCAAGTTATCTTTGAATGGTTTCTGCTTACATTCATCCAAAAGACTCTTGAGAAAAACAAGAGGTAAGAACAGAGTACCTTGGTTGATATGTGGATATTGGCTCCCTTATCCAGAAGTAAGGTGACCATATCTGTGTGTCCCTCCTGTGAGGCCAGATGCAGTGGAGTTACTCCTTGTTTTGTCACAATGTTAGTTTCTGCACCATAGTTCAGGAGTGTGGAAGCTATCTGCATTTGATTCTTCTTGGCAGCAATATGCAAGGGAGTATAGCCATTCTAAAAAAGAAAAGAAAGAAAATGTATATATATTTTTTAAGCTTAGAAATTGTCCCATTATGTATACTCATATAGCTCAGAAGGAAATAAAAATGTCTAACTAAACCAAAAGTTCAAAATTAGCTTGTAGTTAACCAAACAGTTATTTTCAGAGGTATCTATATATCTAGTAACACCCTAGACTTTTCAATGTCAAAGGCATCCCATTCTATTACAAGTATAGGCATACAGTGTACCAACGTTTAAAGTCTTCTTCTAAGATCGCTTCTTTAATGAAGTTGTTGTTAAGTGCCATTGAGTCAGTTCTGACTCACAGCAATCCCGTATAGGATTTCTTGTGGAAGTAGAAAGCCTCATCTTTCTCCCAACGAGTGGATAGTGGGCTTGAACTGCCGACCTTGTGGCTCACAGTCCAGTGGGTTTGCATTGTTGGTCTCGCAGTTAACAGCGTAGTGTGTATCCTATAGTACCACACCAGGACTCCATGAAAAGCAACATAAAATTAAGATAGGTTCCTTTTCTACATAACTGACCTTTTAATACCGCAACAGAAAGGTTTTTTATGACTTTT